GTAGGTATTATAATTTTCGCGGCTGTATAGAAAAAGGTTATTAAACATTTTTTAAGTGGCGGATCTCGCTCGACGTCGACGAAGTTAGCTTACGGTTATATTTTAATCCTCAATATTTATCCAAAAAAGTGTGACATGCCTTTTAGTATCAATTATATTTTGATAGTTCATTGTCTAAGGTAATAAGTCGGCGGACGGGAACGTTGGCTGACGTGTATGATTTTGTATTATCTTTTTGTTATCAATAAAAATTTAGATGTTGAGTGCGTTTAATTTTCATCTTCGTTCTCCTTTCCAATAAATACGGTGGCTCTGTGATGATGTTATAAATTCCATGAAATTTATGGAAATGAAACATTACAATGAAATTTTTTAAATTTTCCGTTAAATTTCGGAAATATTTGAAAAGTGAGAAATTTTAAAATTCTCAAAGAACTTCTACTGTTTTACTTTAAATTATGAAATGACTACTGTTGTTGGGTATCTGTTTGATTTGGACTTCGTAGAATTTTTGATTTCCGAAATTCGAACCTGGAACGGCTACTTCTTTACATCGCTGTCAGCAATGTCGACTGCTGCAATGAGGTGATTATGACCTGCTCGGAGCAGTTTTCGGTTTTACTGCGGAAATTTTGGAAAGGTCGGTAAAATTTTTCCATTCTTGTGCCACGTCATACTGAGGATCTTCATTGACAGCATTGAATCTGGCGGTGTCGACTACTGTGTCTAGAGCGGTTTGCGGCTACTCGGAGGGGCTTTGGGCGTGACGACGGGAATTTTGGAAAGGTTGATGAAACATTCTATTTTTGTGCCGCACTCTCTGCATCAGCCCTCTCAGGCTCTGGGTCCTTCAGGACATCGACCTCGGTCTTAGCTGCAAACAGCCATAACAGCCGTTTTATTTAATTTTTGACAAAATTAAATTTTCTTTATGCTTTATACCATTCGAACTTTTAAATATTCTTGTTTGTTTGTAGCTGCAACCTTTACATTGAGCCCTAAAAGCTAAAATGTGAACTTGGCAACGCTGTTCGCTTTAGCCGACAACTGTTCGTGACATTACGTTACTAAATTTTCCGAGCATCCAGGCATCTGCCAGGGCCGCCCTCGTAGCGGGAGTTATGGGTTGATTTCCTTCATTTTTAAAAGTCGAGTAAACATTTTTTTTTCCGATTTTCTGTCTTTATTGAGCCTTCCGAATACGTGGTTAAAATTAATGACATTATGACTGAATCACCCTGTATACACTACATTTTGTAGATTTAAATTTTTAGGACTAAGATTAAGGTTAAGTTACGGCTAAGTTAGGACTAATACTTTTTTATAAACCAACCATTAATCTTTAGGTGCTATGAAAGCATGACTTATTTTCGTACGAGGCAAAATAAACTTTTTTTAACCGATATTGTGTTTACAGTAGTTTTTCCCACCATATCATGAGTTAAAAAAGTTAATTTCATCTAGTACGAACACGTCGCGTTTTCATAGCATCTAAAGATTAGTAGGTCACTCTACCAGTAGATACAATGCAAGTGGCTTTGCTTTGTACCAGTAGGCACTGAGTAGCAATGACATTTAAGATACGATATAGTTTACAGGTTATATCTCACCAAACCTAAAACATGTCGGTAGATAGCTAAACTATTTGTTAATCCTTTTACAGTACCTATCTCGGTTCGACTTGGCGCCGCTCTTCAGCGAAGAAGACTTTGTCCACTGGTTCATGCCGCGGACGAACATCATCGACAGTTTCGTCGTGGAAAACGAGGGCCAGATCACGGACTTCGTCAGCTACTACACCCTGCCGTCTACGGTGATGCACCACCCGGTGCACAAAAACCTCAAGGCGGCTTACTCGTTCTACAACGTATCGCAGGCCACCCCGTGGTGCACCCTGATGACGGACGCGCTGATCTCGGCCAAGCAACTGAACTTCGACGTCTTCAACGCTCTCGACCTGATGGACAACGGGGAGTTCTTGGAGCAGTTGAAGTTTGGTATAGGCGACGGGAAGTTGCAGTACTATTTGTACAACTGGAAGTGTCCCAGCATGCTGCCGAATAATATCGGGTTGGTGTTGCAGTAGCCTGCGACGAGAGGTGGGGAACGTTTGTTATATAAGAGTAATTAATGTTTTTTAAATTCAGAACACCAAGGGTATGTCGTCTGGTATGATGGGTGGGGCGGGGGCAAGGTGTCGACTCGGTTTTTGTAGGTCCCGCGTTTTGCTGGGAAAGGTCAAAACGGACGAAAATGCGTCTGGTTTTTTTAATTTTGATTTTACGAAAATTAACCAATCAAATTATAGTTAATTTCCGATATTGATACAGTACAGTTGATAACGGTCAGAAACTGATAATTTAATAACTGTCTGAAATATTTTTGATGATTTCTGTGATATAAATCGTGTTTTCTAAAAAACGGTTTTAGACTTTTAGACTAACAGTTTTTTAGATTTCCTGAAATATAATTGAATTTTTTGAAATCAAATATACTGAAAATTAATTACAGGGTGGATACTAGTCTAGAAACCTTTTTCCTTCACTTCATCCTTAATCAAAATTTCGTCAAAATGGACAGTGACCTACTTGTTTTTATTTTAGATTTAACGACTTTAAAATTCGGGGGAAGTAACCGAGTCATTTTCCGTTTCATGCTCCGATAACCCACGGCGGCGAGGATTCGAGTAAATTCGTATATGTTGTAACACCAAATTTAGCTACTCTGTATATCAAATAATTATATTTTTAGGTATAACGTTACCTAACATTTATTCCAAGGTACTTGTCGGCGACGGGCGGATCTCTCCGGTAGGTATTATAATTTTCGCGGCTGTATAGAAAAAGGTTATTAAACATTTTTTAAGTGGCGGATCTCGCTCGACGTCGACGAAGTTAGCTTACGGTTATATTTTAATCCTCAATATTTATCCAAAAAAGTGTGACATGCCTTTTAGTATCAATTATATTTTGATAGTTCATTGTCTAAGGTAATAAGTCGGCGGACGGGAACGTTGGCTGACGTGTATGATTTTGTATTATCTTTTTGTTATCAATAAAAATTTAGATGTTGAGTGCGTTTAATTTTCATCTTCGTTCTCCTTTCCAATAAATACGATGGCTCTGTGATGATGTTATAAATTCCATGAAATTTATGGAAATGAAACATTTCAATGAAATTTTTTAAATTTTCCATTAAATTCCAGAAATATTTGAAAAGTGAGAAATTTTCATAAATTTTAATAAAACAACATAAGAAATTTTAAAATTCTCAAAGAACTTCTACTGTTTTACTTAAAATTATGAAATGGCTACTGTTGTTGGGTATCTGTTTGATTTGGATTTCGTAGAATTTTTGATTTCCGAAATTCGAACCTGGAATGGCTTCTTCTTTACATCGCTGTCAGCAATGTCGACTGCTGCAATGAGGTGATTATGACCTGCTTGTAGCAGTTTTCGGTTTTACTGCGGAAATTTTGGAAAGGTTGGTGAAATTTTGACAAAATTAAATTTTCTTTATGCGTTATACCATTCGAACTTTTAAATATTCTTGTTTGTTTGTAGCTGCGACCTTTACATTGAGCCCTAAAAGCTAAAAATGTAACCTGTTGGACGAAATTCACTAATTTCTAAAATACAGGGTGATTCAGATCTTATTCAAAAAAAAAAAAAAATCGATGTACAGGGGACCCTTACAAATACAATTTTGTAAAGAAAAAATCAAAAAGGGCAGTTCGAAAATGATTTAAAAATACACTTCTGCATGGCACTGGAAACTGGTCCACTGTAAAACCTGATCTGGCACAATGCGATCGTCACGGCGGCAGATAAAAATGGACAAAAACTTGAAAGAATTTCGCAAGGAAAGGAATAAATGGAATTTATTTATTTCAACTGATTTTGCCGCTATTGTTATTATTAACTGATAAAATTAATTTGTAGTTTTAAATAAAATAAATTGGCATACCTGGTGTTACAACTGTTTAAAATTTTGTCCACCGACGGCGACATGTAAACACATTTGGGTCCGTCTTACTCAATTTCGAGCTAACACAAATGCTTTGTATGCGGAGCGCAGATGGCTCCATCTGTCATACTAACTCCCAACTGTGCCATTCAAATGGCTACAGTAGGAAGCGACCTGGTATATTGCCAGTACTTTGTTACACGACTGCCACCCACAATATTTTAATTGCCAGTGTTGCGAGAAATAACTACTCTGCAGGCTATATGCCCTGACTGGCATTGAATTATACTCGCAACACCTAGTGCAACGGCTAGGATTGTTCGTTAGTTAACCCACCAGGCACAGACCGATTTCGGACTTATTAGTCCTCATCGGTGCGTCATAGGTGAGACAACTGATAAACGATCCAGCCAGTATGCGGTCATATGGAGCCATTGTGCTCCGCGTACAATGTACCTCCTTGTCGTGAGGATACGACCGCATAACGGCTGGATTGTTCATCAATTGTCTCACCTATGACACACTGATGAGGACTAATAAGTCCGAAACCGGTCTGTGCCTGGTGAGATAACTGACGAACGATCCTAGCCGTTGCACTAGGTGTTGTGAGTATAATTCAATGCCGGTCGGGGCATATAGCCCGCGGAGTAGCTGTTTCTCGCAGCACTGGCAATTATAACACAAATGCCGTCTTGTTTGTCCAGCTATATAATGAGTACTACAACTTCAATAATTTTTTTCTCAGAAACTATGGAGTATATCTTAAAATTTTTTTTTATGATATACTCCATTTCTCATGCCGCATCTATTCCCAAATTTTTTTGGATAAGTTGTGAATCACCCTGTATATGTACAGCGGTTATGGATTTGTGGGGAATCTCAAATATTGAGTTGAAAATTGCTGTGGTTTTTAGTGCAACAAGAAGAAAATTTGAATAACATATTTAGTAGCTGTTCTTGTCCATAATTACATATTTTTATTCTTAAATAAAAGATTTGGGGGTGAAAAATTATTTATTATTGCTGATTTTTTTAGTATGTACAAACAGAGCATACATTTTTTTATCTAAAAGATAGAGGAATTTCTGCAAATATTTTCGATAATTACAAGTACGTATATCATTGGTTTTTAATTTATTAGTTTATAAATCTTTAAAAAATCTGAAGTGCCAGCGATAGGAAATGTTCAAGGAATTTAGTTTCATGGAAACTATAATCATTTATTTTTAAATTTGGTCTTGCGTCTTTATGTATTTGTCTTTTAGTTAACAAAAATAGAATTAAAAAAATTAACAATCATATAAAAATTAGTAACATTAGTCATATTACTGTGGCATTATAACACAAGCGTTCAGCCTAGTCGGTTGGCTAGATGGATTTTAGGTTTGCCTTTTTTGTCCAGTATTTTCATGACGTAGTATTCTTTATCGACATCGATGAAACGGGCCATTCTGGTGCCATCGTATTCATCGTCGGAACCTGGGGGGTGCATTCTCATCTAGAAATCATAGAAAGGAAAATTGGGGGGCTGTTATGCAAATATTAAAAAAACATCCAACTGTATTTTTTCGTTTAAAATGTAGTGTTGCGAGATTCGTAATTTCTGGTTAAAAAATCATTTGGATGGTAAAATGTGTTACATACCGTTCAACATTGATGACCTCCACTATTAGCCGATCGTTTGGGAGAATTATTATTAGAAAAAATATGCAAAAGTTAGAAAATTACAACTAACACAGAGCGTTACTGAATTTGGGATGATAATTATTTGGTAAATCCATGCACAAAAAAGTGAAACACTAATGTAAGTGTAGTAAATAAATGTGTAAAAAATGATAAATACTTTATTAAACTATATATATAAAAAAATTACAAAAAATATCGAGATTCCTATATAATGTTAATGTCCTTGTACCATTATTACCTGTAGAAACCACGCCCTACTATCACTTACGGCTTTTTATTAGAATATTCAAAAGCAAAACAATTTTTTCTAAATCTGGTACAATTTCCAAGGAAGTAAAGCAGGTTTCTCATTACGCACACCATTTACAAAAATTATAATACCCATTACAGGGTAAAAACTGGAAGTACGTTGGTAACTTATTCAAGAAAAGATAGCATAGAATTTTACTAAAAGAATACAGAGCCTACAAAAATGATTACAAGCCACGTGACTAGTAATTTTGTTTGGAATTCCTGTCATGTTGACAATTAAATTTCGGTAAAATTAAAAATTCAATAAGACCAAGAGATTTTATTCAAGTAATCGGCGATCGAGTTATCTCGAGCGCAGACGTAATGGTTTGTCATTGTTCATTATAAACGAATCATTAATATTGATGATGCCAAGATTTAGAGAATTTTCATTACAATGCAATTTTCAATACAATCCTGCAATGTTGGTTGCCTAAGCTCAGTGATCACATGGCTTGTAAACATTTATGAAGACTGTACTTTACACGATCAGGAAACTATGCAATGCATACTTGCCTTGAGCATTGCATAAATTAGTGTTAATTTAACACGGTTTCTTAAAAGAGAAAGCGCTTGGAAAAATTATACTAATAATCGTAAACTTCCATATTTTACCCTTGACTAAAATAACATCTTAACAATTTTTGCTATGCTTTAAACTTAGCCACCTAACTTTACACCGATTTATTACAGATTAATAGTGGAAGCAAGCAAAAATAGCTAAAAAAATAAATTGTTATTGTCATTATATTAAAAAATTAAGGCCCTGTACTTAAAGCTTGGTTAAACTAGTTATTCTCTGTCCCAATTTTAGTCATCAGCTGAAGCCTTTTTGAGCCTTTTCTGTAAAAGAAATTATAATTATGTATATTGAGAAAGGAATTTATCTTGATCGATGCAACAAAACATTGTTTAACGGCAGATCTTAGCTTTAGCGTTTGTTAGTCAAGGTCGAATATGCAATGACTGCCAGGTGATTGTTGTAGTGATTCATTATAATTATAACACTTCAGGAAGCTAGAAATATCTGCAAACAACTTAAAAGCTAGAAATTGATATATCCATGGTCACCTTTGTTTGATTTATAATTATTTTCACAACTTCTACATGACACGGATATATAAATATACACTTTAACACTTCCTTGACATTTTTTGAAACCAAAAATTCCACATTAACAAATATTTTGTTGCACACACACACCGTAACTCTTTATTTATTATTGTTAATGAATTATATCTTCCCTAGACCTAATTTTCATTTTGATTAAGCCTTAATAAGCTCGTTATCGTGTAAGGAAACGGACTCACCATAATCCTGTACTTCTCTTTACAGGCGTAATCGGACTCGTCCACATCCTGGTAACAATCGCTCTTATAGTCTTCCGGTAGGGGGTTTCCCTCAAACTCGCAAAGCTTTTTCAGTGATCGGGCTCTGGGAAACACCGGATTATTAAAAAGGCTTCAAAACGTCACAACAAAAACTTACTTCACTATTAGCTTGTCAAATCCTGTCGGTTTGTGAATAGGACAGTAGAAAACGTCGGGGGTGTTCTTGTCGAAGACTATGCTCTTCCTCATCATGTCCTTGGCGGCAAAAACACAGGCCGCAAGGGCAAAAATAAGGAGGATAACTGAAGAATTCATTTCTGGAATAAAAGTAGATGTCTTTGTCACAGTTTTTATTGGGACAGGTTTTGAGAGGCTTCTTTCTAGCACCTAAATATGGTAATGTAGGTTGTTACTACAGTTAGAGATTGAATACTAAATATTTTTTTAATTAGAAATTTCAGAAAGTAAGTAAATATTACTCAACCAGGACATTACAGTTATATAAGGTCTATTTATCACACTTTTTCACCTACTAAAAGCTTAGATTGGCCACACTTTCACTTTCTAAAACGCCGTTTATTTTCAAGTCAAATAAATCTTATGTGCAATACGTACAAAATATTGAAACAATTCTCTCACCTGTTTATTGTTGGTAACTGCCTTTGGTAATATTTCACAGTTAGAAACTGATTTTGTGGTAGTTAAAGCAGCATTTGTGAATTGCAAATGAGGTGGGCTCCAGCCTCCGCAATCTTGTTTTTGGTCATACAACCTTCGCAAAATTGGTATACGTCATATAAACAGTTATGAGTAGATGAATGGGACGAGAATGGGCAATATTCGACGTGTTGCTGACTTCGAGCAGTAGACGCAGGAGTATATGCTCGAAGGTTGCTGATGAAGCTACTTAACGGTATATAGTTCTAAGAACTAAAAGAACGCTTTCAAGAATGAATAAGTGTGAAATTACACAAAACAGCAACAGGTAGTTCGGTAGGTAGCTAGGCAACTGACGTTGATCGTAATTGTATAACTAGTTGCCTATCATGCGTTATAAAATAACTGCTACAATTAGTTATTTTCGTGTTACCAACCGTACTACCAATCTAAATTCGGCGGTAAATTTGAAACAGTAATATCTTCCAATGGTTTTTTTATGTACAAAAAAATTAATTAACTACATTGTTAATAAAATCAATACAAGTTGAATGCACTAATAAGAAACGTATATTTGAAAACAGTTAATTGTATAAAAAAGAAAGAACTTAAAATTTATTATTCATTTTCATTCTAATGAAAATTTTTAGGCGATATTCTGTCAGCAGCAAATTTGGATAAGGTTAAGATTGTTTTTGAGCCTTTAGCCGGTAGGGACTCATAGTCACTCTCACCTAAAAAACAACAAAAATTAACACAAAATTGACGGTTAATTGCGGTTAGTCAATTTTTGTTTAAATTTAGAAAATTTTATTAATATAGGAAATGTAGTGTCTAACAAAAAAAAAAAAACGCATTTGGATGTAAACTGTTTATTTAACAATTGAATATTTACATGTAGTAACAATCGAAATATCCAAAACCGATTATGGACGATAAAAAAAAGACTAATATACAAAAAGTGAGACTGCCTAGTCCATTTTTCTCGCTTCGAAAAAAATAACCCCTCCCTCACGCATACAGAAAAATAGTTTTAGCGTCGAAACGGAAGGATTATTATTTGTTAAAGAAAAGACAAGCCTATTCAAAATTTAATATCTTTAGTTACTCTTCTTACTTTTTAATTTCTCTGACTGTTCATCGAATTCTTTGTCAGAAATGTTCAACATCAATCCGTTGCCGCTGAGATAGACCTTGTTCTGTGAATTGGCAATCTGAAACAAACGAGATTGAATGGTGATTTGAAGGTCGACGTTTAATACGAGACACGGTGAATGGATTATACTCACCGTTCGGGAAATATTTTGTGCAGCCCTGATTTTTCTCAGCTTCAAGTATCCTGGATTTCGCCCAATGGCTTCTCCTAAGTAAACGTTAGTTAAGGAAAACATGAAAAATATCTATTTTTCTACACTTATTAATATGTTAGGTTAGTTTCTATGTCGTACCTCTAAAATAATGGCACAAACTATGCCTTATTGGGTAGTAATACAGTAAAATCTCTATATACGGACACTTTTCGATAACAGATGCCTCTAAATAATGGACTATTTTGCTTTCATGGGATTTTACCATAATTAAATAATGAACTCTGTATAAAACAGACGCAAACATTTTATTTTCACTAGAACACAAAAATATATGTCAAATTACCCGTTAATGGCGAACAGACAAGATTAACAATTGTTTTAAGTCAGGCAAATGACTGAATCCCTGATAGCTTTTAACCTTGCCTTAGTTTTCTCCATCGGTAGGATCCCCCTACCGTACATACAATCAATTTTAATTATTAGCAATACACAATGCAAAATTAGCTGCGTTAAGAAAAATTTGATGCTGGGTGTGTAGGTATGTACATATTTTGACTTTGTATTCGTTTTTATAATGTCAAGATGGATTCCAGAAAAAGAAAAGCGTTTATTCAACATAAAATTAATGTTATTACGGCTTCAGAACAACATAATTTAATCATGTAAAAACTCTCGGAAAACTTTAGTGTTGGAAAAAATTACTGCCCGTAATGGTAAAAAACCATTGTAATACAAGTGAATGCGATATAGAAGACATACTATACAGACATACTAGACATACTATTAGCATTTTTATTTCTAAATTTTAATGTCACTATTTTAAATTTAACATCATTATTTGATAACTGGAAATCCAAATAACTATTATTGATTGCATTGAGACCCAAAAAAGATTAAAAGACGAGAGTTATTTTTTTTGGCTCTAGTAATTTTAACATGGATAAAAATATTTTTCGTTCTATTTGAATGCAATTTACATATTTAACAATAAATTCAACAAAATTCGACTAAATATTATCAAGAACAGTTCTTTAGAATTAAAATATATGTCTAAATAGAAAATCATCGCCGTCTATTTGAAAAATAAATTAAAACCGGAAATTTTGAATTGCCCCCGTAGCAAGATTATTTTTTTATTTGTGAGAAATTGTAAAATAGTTTAATTTATTACTTTCTATAGGTAATAAAAAAATGTATACTTGGTGCAACAATATTTAACGCAACTATAAAATTTGTCAAATTATTTTTTCAAAAAATTTAATTAAATCGTAAATATGCAAATTAAAAAAAAAACATCAAATGTTAAAAAAAGTTCTTTGGACTGTTTATTGAAAAACGTGTTGTCCAAACCTATTACATATTTTTTTTTATTTACATACAGGGTGTTCTCAAAGTTGAGTCATTTATTTTTTAACAGCTGGTAGAACTCATAAAAAGAAGTCAATTTATAAAAAATCGTTTATATAAAAGTCAAATAGAGCAATTATTGACAATTATTTTAAGAAAATTAAATTTAAAAACTTTCTAATACAAACCTGATTTATTGTCATTTTCGACCACTCTATTGTAAAAACATAAATTGTTTGTTTACTACTGATACTAGGTATGTCTTTTTTTTTGTAGTTGCACGGTTTTGAGTATGCTTTTCGATTTGACAGTGCTAAATAATCCGTCCAGTAGTACGTGATATTATTTTTGATTTGTGGGTGTTTTGTGCAATAGTAATGGCACATGTTTATGAAAACAATGAACTAGTGGACATAATATTAACTTACAGGGACTATCAACAAAATGTAGCTGCAGCATGTCGCTTGTACGCGGAAAGGTTTCCTTTACAAAATCACCCGGCTCCGTGGATGATCCTAAATTTAGTTATAAGACTCCGTGACACAGGATATTTAAAGGAACAACGAGGAGGTCACGCTGGAAGACCTCCTCCAGTGATGGAGATCGAGGAAGAAATTTTAGAAATTGTCGAAAACGACCCATCAACGAGCACTAGGTCCATGTTAGTAAATACACAATTTATTTTCCAGTATAGTCTTTCCGAAATCAATTGAAGAACCAACAGATTGACAGTACGTACCAGGTTCGGTCGCTGATGCAGCAAAAACTTGTTCCCATATTTATTTAGCCCTACCCATATACAGGTCTGGTCAAACTAAACGTGGAGGTGGTAGAAATGTATACACCCAGTTGTAGAATGCGAGCACGGGCAAGGGAAAACAAACATAGTTGCATTGGGCTATTGGCAATAAATCTCAGCAGTTCACAAGTGGTTGATAAATTGGCCAGCAGTGCAGTGCAGCAATGCGGAATTTGGTGTGATTCAGGTAATTTTAATTTATTATAGGCACCTTCTATCAATCATCCATATTACAATTGCGAAAGGGAGAAATAAGAGGGATATTTTGTTTAGTAATATCATCACAACATGGCACTTTGGAGACCTTTTGAAACAGAACAAAACGAAATTTATCATCAATATAATAAATTTGTTTTGAGTACATAAATAATTAAAATGTTGTTGACCAAATGAACATATAATAGAAATTTTCTACACATTATATACAAATTATTATAATTTTTTTCCTTTAGCAAAAAAATTTTTTGGGGACGCCTGTGAAACTCATTGAATTTTATTACCAGGCATTTTTTTGCATGTTCAACTGACTTCGGAAAGACTATACCAGTATTAAATAAACAATTTGTTTTTACAACCGAGTGGTCGAAAATGACAATAAATCAGGTTTGTATTATAGTATTTAAATTTCAATTTTTTAAAATAATTGTTAATAATTGCTTTATTTGACCACTTTTATATAAATGATTTTTGGTAAATCGACTTTTTTTTAAGAGTTCTACCAGCTGTTAAAATAAATGACTCAACTTTGAGAACACCCTGTATATTTTCATTCTAAACAACTTTTCTTATATTTTGGTACATTTTTTAAAATGAAACTACTTTACTCCTCAAATTAATAAATTTTTTTAGTGCCATTCTAAATGCACCGAAGACCAACTTTCGGCAGTGCTCAAAATTTTTATTTGCACATAAAAAAATTCAATTTTTTGTACACTTAATGGTACACTGTATATGTTTGTAACAAAATTATTGTCAAACTTAACATTATTGCATTTTTTTCTTGTACATATTAATATAGTGTGTCCAAGATATGGATGGGATAGTATTAGGATCTAGCAAACGGTAAGAGATACGGGGTGGCTCAAATTAGAAAAAAGTTGTGTTTTTTGATACCTAACAATGTGCCGTTTAGAGTTTTAAAATTCCGGTTAGTTCCGGACCAATTTTTTTAAATACGTGGCTGCTATTTTTATAACAAAATCTAGTCATTTTTGATTTTGAATTAGATGATATTATTATTATCCTTCAATTTTTTTTTAATCAATAATTTAAAAAGTACCTAATAAAAATATAATACGAATTTATGAAATATTTTATTCCTAATTATTTTGTCCTATATTGACTTTTATACTGTTATGATTTCCTCCAATAGATATTTTGAAAACGTTCAGAACCGTACTCAGGAAAAATTTTAAACGATAGCTAAAACAAGCTAAAAACCTTTTTACAATTACAATATTACAATAGTAATATCGTCTAATTCAGAATTAAATATGATTTTAGATTTTGTTTGTAAAGTTTGATGTATGCCAAAAAAAAAGCTCAACCGGTCCGCGATTCGCTCTGTGGACCTTCTGCTTCACAGACACGAGCTTAGAAACTGAGCTATGGCCATGGGAGGCTGGAACCTGTATGGGAACGACTCACCGTGGCCCGATTGGCCGGGAAAATGCGTAAAAAGATAAAATTAAATTTGACGTCTTTATTGATGTTGATCTCCATGTCTGTCTACACATCGGATATACTTCGGGTGTCTCTTGCATGGAAAAAAGTAGATTTTTGATGAGGACTTTTTTAAAGACGAAATTTCTCTTAAAAGGCGCTAAGAATATGACGTTGGGATAAAAAAAATACCGCTTTGCGGTTCACGGGCAAAGTCTTTGGTAATACCAAACTCCTCTTTACGCAGTCAAATGTGGGAGCGAGAGTTACCTGCGGAGTTTAATATATAATGATATTGAATAAAATGACACCTATCTTTTTTACACTACTTCCCCCATCACTAAATAACCAACACGTTTATGTAACAGACATTTTAAAGTACGGAGGTTATACTGTAATTTCTAATTAGCAACCTAAGGACAATTAAAAAAATATTTATGACAACACTGAGTTCAAACGAGAAGTTACATTCTAAACACAAAATAGTACGTACCGAATAGAGCATAGTATATGTGCGTTAAGAAAAATCTAATAAAAAAATTCGAATGTAACTGATTTTTGTTAAAAAGGATATCATCTTTGCAGCCTCAGCTTCTCCCTCGGCTTGAACGATCTTCTGCTGTTTTTCCTGCTTCGCCTTCTCGACTACAAATGCAGCCCTTTGTGCTTCCTGCTGAGCGATCTGTTTAGATTCTACAGCGGCGGCATAATCCTTACCGAATGACAAATCCGTGATGGAAACATCATCTAAAATTATATTAAAGTCTTGCGCCCGCTCGACTAACTCCCTTCTGACCAATAACGACACCTAAAATAATCCCACATTTTTATAAAAAAACAAATACCAACCAATCCATTCCAACCTGTTGTCTCTGGGTTATAAGCTGCGCTGCGTTGAATTTGGCCACGACTGATTTTAAGACTTCGTTACAAATGGAAGGCAGAACTTTCTCGTCGTAATCTAAACCTAACTGACGGTACACCGTCGGCAGTTGAGCAGCGTTAGGCCTAGCTAAGACACGGAGTGAGATATTGACCATTTGTAAGTCTTTAGATCCAGTCGGAGAAGAAATTTTCCTTGGTCGAGAACTGAAATGTCATATTGGTTAACGAATATGAGAAATGCAAGGTGGTGCTTTTACCGAATATCATAGATTATAGGGTATTGGAACCATGGTACTCTGAAATGCAGTCCTTCTGTGTAGATGTCCTTTTGCACACCACCGATTCTACTAAAGATGATGGCTCTGTGACCACCTTCAACTAAAATACACATCATATGAATAACGTTAACCTAACTTTACTTTTAGTTTGTAAAGATTAAGTTGAAGGAAAGGTAACAAAAAACGTTATTCTACTCGATTTTATTTATACCCAACACAACTTCAATGTAAATAAATATAGATTTGCACAGAATACACAAAGATTTATGTAATATTACAACAATCTTTAAAATGTTACAACTATATTAAAGGGAATGATTGTAGTGTTAAAATATAGTCCCAAAACTGTTACACGAACTATAAATTAGTATTTTTCTCATAAATTACGTATTAAAAGCTATTCCAAACTACGTTAAATACCTGTATACATAGATTGTGAAATGCTATAAGCGGCGACACCTCCAAAAGCGAGCAGTTTCAGTCCCAATCCAAGTCCTGGGGGACCACCTCCTTTAGCGAATTTACCGGCCAGGTCATTTAATTTGCTCTGAGCCATTTCTATAGCGGTATCTAGCAAATTTATCGAAGAAAAAAAACGTCAAAAACACATGCGGCAAAGTCACGACTGATAATGGCCGGCGCGGATGAAAATTTCAGGGCTGCCAATTCAATTGCCCAATATCTTGGGATTTTATTTATTGATAAAATATAAATTTATTAAAACAAGTTATTTGAATATACAAAATGCAGTTTTAAGTATTTTTTTTGAGAATTTAAATAACCAGTTGTTAAAAAATATACCTAATATAAATTTTCAGAAAGAAAATTAAGCAAGTGTAGGCAACAAGTAAAACAGCAACGTGTGTGTCTGGTCTTAGAACTAGATTCGTCACATAGTTTTTAATAATGTATAAATACTAAATAATACTATTTGATTTATTAGCCTTAAACGCAGTAGTATGTTTTTGAAAAAACAATACGTGCCTTTAATATTGTGTTGGTGTTTAGTACAACATACCCTGACATCTATGTTACTTCTTTAAGATTATATTGTTCTTATCTACAATTATAGATGGCAGTAGTATCCTTAGGGGAATTATGAATATAAATTTTAAATAAAAATTATTATTGTTGCAGTTTAGAAAAATACAAGATACCATATACCTATCTAGAGAGCTAGATGTCAAATCTTATCTTTCTTCATAATATCACACGTATCGTCATTAAATACTGAAATTAATAATTTATAAGGTTATGCAGTTATGTCTTCCGACAAAATGATCAGTTATGGGTTACTTTTATGAAAATGGTTTTGCTTAACCGAAGATCTTACGTAGATATATTGAAAATAGCACAGATAGAAAATACAAAATACACAAGGTGGCTCAGGGTTAATATGCGATAGAACTTACAAAAATAAAAAAATTATATGAACTTGCATGTTTTAAAGCTTTGTTGAGATATAGGGTGTCAGAGTTAATAAAAAAAACTATTTTTTTTTAAATATTTCAAAAACTGCATATCCAACTTTGTTAAAACTTGGTACGTTTTTAGTAATAAGAAAGAGCCTTAATTTTATGCAATTAGGCTTAATTTAATTATTCCAGGGGCGGCGCTGGGGCGTCCTCACTAGATATTTAAAATAAAAAATTTGAACACGCCACTGCTTTTTCATAAGTTTGATATTATTTTTATATTGAGTAATTAAAAATACATTTTTCTTAATCGAGTTGTGTTATTTACGGAAAGTTATAGCAAGATGAATATTTTATGTAATTGTTTGAATTGCTGACCAGGGATTATCAAAATTTTAAAAGTTGCAAGGCTTATTAGAAAAAAAAAATATAATTCAATTTCTTTAAATAAATAGTCAATTTTTTTCGGGGCGGGTGGATAAATGAATTTATTTTTTTTTCTCGAAAAATAAGCAAGATGGATGAAAAGTGACGAAAAAATTGTAATTTTCATTAGGTACCTACTTACTCAATTCAATCATCATCATCATCAAATTTATAAAAAAGCAGTGGCGTACCCAATTTTTTCTTAAAAATGTCTAGTTAGGATGTTCATGCGTCGTTCCTGGATTAATTAAATAAAATCTAATTACACAAAATTAAACCATTTACTTATTACTAAAAATTTGCCAAGGTTTATCAGAATCGGTAAAACAGTTTTTGAGATATTTGAAAAAAATGTTTTTTTAATAACTTTAACTCGCTCAAAACGTACCTATCTCAAAAACGAAACTTTAAAATATACCTATAAGTTTATATGAACTTTTCTTTCTATTTTTCTATGGTCTATTATGTTTTCCTGATTCAAACCTGTATACAACCATATTGATCACTTCAGTAAGTCGATGTTACGAAAATTAACCTATTTTCAATATCAATAATTTTTGACAGTTTTAATGAAAAGTCATGGCGAAGAACAGTTAGCTATGATGAAAACGAAAACACTTTTTTCAGTGTGCGATATTTCGTAGGGCAAAACTAATTTCATAAAAAATAAGTCTCAAACTGATTTTTTCCGCGCAAAAGTTTATTTATCCCACAAAAAAGTAACTCCAGACAAAATATTTGTTGTTAAAAAATTCGTCAGATTACTCAGTATTTTTATTTATTTTCCATTATGTCTATTCACATACAAATATTAATTACACAGTCCAATAAAATTTAACTTTTTTTGGAAGCAAAAACTTGAATATATATTTCCGAAGAATTTAGGTGCGCTGAATCCGAATCTGGCAGCAGAATTGCTCTATCACGTCAGGTTTTTGAGACATCCTTACCTAAAAGTGCAGAAAACACGTTTTTTGTCATATTTGAGCTTATGTAGTAATACCATCTATTCTTTGGCGACATGAAGCAGTCGATTGCAATTCGGAAACTTCATACCTATACGGTTTGTGGGTTTGGAGTTGGTGGGCTTGGGGTTTGTAAGCTTGGAGTTTGTTGGTTCGGGTTTTGTGGGATTGGGGTTTGTGGGTTTAGGGATTATGAATTTGAGGTTTATGGGTTTGTGGATTTGGAGATTGTGAGTTTGAGTTCGTATGTATTGAAGGTTTCTGAGTATGAAATTTCTAAACTGCAATCAACTGTTTGAAAAAAATACATATAATTTAAAAGTACAAGGCTCCCTCCTTCGAATGCCGTTGAGTTTGCTCAAATATATTTTTTTTTCATTGAGATATCACATGTTGAAATTTCTAAGTTTATCAGTTTCTTAATATGCGAAAATCTACTAAGGATCTCTTAGACGTCAAACAGTTGATTGCAGTTCAGAAATTTCATACTCAGAAACCTTCAATACATACGAACTCAAACTCACAAACTCCAAATCCACAAACCCACAAACCCCAAACCCACAAGCCCTAAACCCACAAACCCCAATCCCACAAAAGCCGAACCTACAAACTCCAAGCTTACAAACCCCAAGCCCACCAACTCCAAACTCACAAACCGTATGAGTATGAAGTTTCTGAATTGCAATCGACTGCTTGATGTCTAAGGGATCCTTAGTAGATTTTCGCATATTAAGAAACTGATAAACTTAAGAAATTTCAACATGCGATATCTCAACGAAAAAAAAGACATTTAAAAATAAAAATGGCATATTTGGCAAAAATTTAGGAAAAAATCAGTTTTGATTCAAATTTGGGCCAGCTTTCACCGAAATAGTGGATTTTCTGAGAAAAATCGAGATCATAGGTAAATTTTACTAATGGCTTCGTGTTCAGCGCTTCAAAATTCTACAAAACTAATATATTAGGACAAAATTTAGGAAAAAATCAGTTTTGACCCATATTTGCACCAGTTTCACCCAACAATTTCACTTTTCTCCGAAATTTGTTATGAAGTCATGAATTTTGACTACAGGATCGTTTTCAGCGCATCGAATTCCTTCGAAAATGATATGTGGCTCTCTTGGCTTTTTTTTTTTGTTTTCTGTGTTAATGATGTGACATAAATCGCAAGTACCTTTTAAACGTTATGAGAAAATAAAATATTTTTTGTTCTAAGCAGGTCCTGAGGGTAATTCTCTCGGTTTGAACCCTTGAGTATACCATTTACGAACTTGAAGTACCCTTCGACCACCAGTAACAACGGCGAAGCAAGCAGCCGGCATCGAAGTCGAGGACCCGGTCGAATTGACGCGCGCCCGAAACCACCCCCTGCCCAAGCAGCGCGCGACAAATCGCACATATCCTCGGCAGCCGTCCTGGTCCAGGACAACGCCAGCCACTCGGTAAACATTGATCTTGAGATGGCCTGTGTTGATTGGACCCAACGACACCTGGGTGTTGCTAGGCGACGGCCCCGGGGCGGCGCGGTTGCTAGGCGACGGGCGAGGGCGCGCAACCCTCCCGGGGACACCCCGGGACGGGGCTGACGTGTCGTGCGAACCCCCGTGTGTGTGTCTGCCGGTAATTAGAAGGGCCGGAGGTAATGGAGATGCCGGGGGTGACGGAGGCGACGAGATTGGAAAAATTTTATAGATACCAAAAATTAAGCAAAAATTGCAGTTTCTATTTCGTTGTATGACAGAGCGGTTGCGTGTTCACGGCGTAAAAAAAATTGAGGGAGTAACAGTCGCATAGACTGTGTTGATAGGGATGATTTTTTATATATAAGAGTGTGTCTTGAACAACTAAAAATTGGTTTGTCTTAGCGTTTTCCATTTTTCTTCGTTTAAAAAATGTTAATATAACGAGACCAACAAATGCTTACTTAACACTATTTAGGTACAAACTATGTATTTTACAGGAATGTTTACGTAACATTCTAGATTCTCCCCTTATATTTTTTTTACATTCTTTCTACGAAAAACAAATGATGTAGACCAATATGATACGTATATTTATGCCGATTTCAAAGAAATATGTTTAACAAAATTGAATTATTACATTTCCAAGATATGTATCAATAGTTATTTGTTTAACTATGCAGTGAAGTTCAAGATTTAATGCCGCGTCTGGCATTTTATAGACGAGGCGCAGCCGAGTCTATTAAAGCAGCATCATACGATCAAAATAGGCATATTTAACTAAATTTACATTTACCTTAAGTTGCCTCGTTTAGCTGCTAGAGAGTACTGATAATTTTTTTTTCAAATAACTGAAACTAGATTTTATTGAGATTTGATACCTACACGAATACATAACGTAAATGATCACGTTATGTATTTTTTATCTCAGAGCGGGACACCCTTAAATTGTATTGTTATAAAAATAAAACACATGTTTTATACTACAGTTATGAATAATAATAATTTATTATACCTTATTACATTTAATATACAGGGTGTTTCTAAAATAGGGTTCCAAACTTCTGCTGCGTTTATAACTCATTAAAATAAGCCAAAAAGTTCCTATTAACATGTGCCCTAAAACGCACCCTTAGGAAGTTATATGCCCTTAAATGGGCTCAAACAAAACTGTTTTTTTTTCTGTTATTGACAAAACGGTCGCAAGTAAATAGAAAAAAATTTATGGGTCTTACATAACTTTTTACGTTAAATAACATGGGCTACTCCGTTTTTCGAGATGCGGCCCATTTAGGTTGGTGAAGGGGGTTTTCGGCCCGTAATTGTTTTTATTTCAATTTTTTTACAATTTTCTCTACAGATTTATAAAATCTTAAGAATTTTACGTA